AAATAAAATAAAACAAACCAAAATAAAAAGAGAGACGAGCCAAGAAAGCACTTGCTTCTCATCATCTCTCAGGGAGAAACGCCAGCTCTGTTCTTCTTATGACCCTCTGCTGCAGGGAGCAAAGGGAAAGAAGGTACTGGGGTAGACCTCCTAACAAAGCAGGGTTCACGCTGCCCGGACCCCATCGCTACCCCGGTTAGCAGCAGGCTGCGGGAGGTGCGAGGGGGGTAGGGAAGGTTGCCAGGGGGAACCAGGCAAAGCCAAAACGAAGCTCCACCAAAAGCAAGGAGCAGAAATGAAAGTTTCGAAATAGCACGCGAACAACTGCAAAGGACCGGACCAAGGAGAGCTTTCCGCATCACATCAGCCCTTGATGGTGCATTCGAGGGGCTGCATCGGGGATGTGAACGTCCCCAGCCTGCTGCATGGAGAGGGGTAAAGACACAGAAAATCCTTGTTATTTATTTATTTATTGGAAGCAATGTACGGGTGACACCCAGAAGGCATCTGAGCCCTGAAAAAAAAAACCACCTCTGGACCTAAACGAGAACAAGAAGAATGAGACAGCAGCCTTGACCCCTACACTGAGAGGAAGGTGAGCAGAAAGAAAGAAAGAAAAAACAGAAAAGCCATGCAAGCACCAAATCTGTAGATTACTGCAGCTCTTTTTTGCTTCACTGAGAACAGATATTTTACTGACAACCATGCAGCATAAAGGCATCATGCTGATTGTGTTCTTGGAATATTTTATTTCTGGCCATGGGGAAGCAGGTAAGCAAAATAAATAAATCAATATTGCTATTCATGAAATAATTTATCCTAAGTTTAGCAAGGGGAGAGAGGATAGAAATCAGGTCTGTTTGTTAAAAAAAAAAAGTATGTCAACATCTTTATTTTAGATTGGATTTTTATAAGGAATTCGGGTTAGTCAATGTATACAAATGCTTCTTATTCCCTGCAATACAGAGCTTTGTAGCTCAGCCTCCTCTTATAAGGACTTATAATAGGATGTAGAGTTTCATACATCCTTAAAAGAAAAAAAAAGTATTATTTTTGTGAACAAAAGAAAAGAAATAGAGAAAGAAAGAGATAGATGAATTGAGTTATGCTGGATATTTGTTTTGAGGATGAAACGCTGCCTTCCTAGGCAGGACAAGAGTGACATGACAACATCCTTGGACAGCATCACTGTAGAAATCTGAATTATTCTCTCATTTAACTTCATTTTGCATCATTAGAAGTCAGAGACACTGTTTAGGAATTACTATTTATCCAAGACAGTCCATTCATTCAGTGTATTCCCTGACTTAATAGTTAACATGCAGTGGACAAGATTAAATTAGCATTAGAGAGAAAATGGATTAGGACAGAAAAAGAAGTTGATTAGTTGTGTGTGTATATGTGGGTGTACAAATAAACATATATAGGAATGATACAGCTGTAATGGTATTTACATAGGGTCCTAAAAATACCTGGATTATGATGGAGACAAATTCCTTAAGGGAAAGGAAGCAAAGCATTAGATTGTTTTCTTCTTGCTATGGTTTAATACATCTTCAAGGTTAAAAGGGATGAATTATGCAGATCAGGTCAGAAAAACAAAAATAAGTATTGATAAAACAACAATACATCCTTGGTGACTTTTCCTTTGAGATACTGGCTTGGGATCTCTCTTTCTATACCAGTGGTTTAAATTTCACCTGTGTGCTCAGAGTATTAGGACAGGAACAACAGTCTACATGCAGCGATTTGAAAGCGATTGAAGTGTTCAGCTACTGTGCAAGCTCTTGTAAATTCAAAGGCAGATCAGGTGGCTTCAGCTCAAATTATTCCCCAGCTAGAACCTTTTTGATAACATAGACATCAGATTTCCATAACTGCAAGAGTTACTTTCTTAGAAACTGAAAACAGCTCATGAATTTACAACCCTGTCATATTATCCAGTGACTCATTTGGAAAAAAGGCTGGCTATCACAACATTACAGGGAATGAGTAGAGGGAGGACATGGTACCTTAGTCCTCTTAGTGTCTTATCTTGGGCATTCTCTAGTTTCCCAGGCTAGGACTCTCCTTATAGGATACGTATGTTGATACATAGCACAGAAAGGTTACAGAGGTGTCCTGTAAAGTTGCCGATACTGTTGCGAAAAGCAGCCTGTTATAAATGAGCCTAAATTTGTTCTGCATCCAATTCACAAAGTGAAAATGAATCTTCACAGAAATGCAGCCCACAGCTGACTGCTTGGAAAGTGAATTTGAGGGGAGGGAGTGTGTTCTGTATGGAGCCAAACACACTCAGAATACTGGTGTAAGACATAGTGAATAAAGCAAAATAATTGGATATTAAAGGTGATGACACTAAGGATTCAATGTCACTTTAAATAAATACACACTGCTTGGTCAAAAGGTTGCACAAACCATCAGCCTCTGAAAGCACAAGGGTTACCTCTTCATTTTTAATTCCTTTTTTTTTTTTTTTTTTTTTAATAACAATCTTGAATTAACCTTGAATCTTTACAGGTCCTGTTACAGGCAGGCTCAGTACTGCTCAGACTAAGGTTAGTTCAGACAGTGTTTAGCCAATCTGTGTAAAATGATTTGGAAGTCTCAGCCTTTTCCTGAGCAGAGTGGTGTACAGGGAAGTATGTTTTTGACATACTTTATTAGACTATACAGTAAACTCCCTTTTCAGCCCTATAGCTGGTCATTCCCGGTCAGAAGCAAAACAAATTGATGGGGCAGTTTTGTGGGGAGTACATGAATTACAATATTTGTGGGGAGTGTAATATTTGTCTTCTGCCATCTCTGTGCAGAGAAGACAGTCTGGGTTGTCAAGACTGGCTCCTTAGATCTTTAAATATAATGCCAAGGGAAAAAAAAAACCTTAGTGGTTAAGCTGGAGGAGTCACCTAGGTTTTATATTGTGAGATGTGACACTTGGGTGATCCTTCCCCTAGTCTTATGCAGGTGAAGGGCATTATTCCCCTCAAATAAACTCTGCAGTGGTCTGAAAACTCTTGCATATTGGGACAGTTAACGGAACTGACAACAGCTTGGGCTCTTGCTTCAGCCCCGGCCAGCCCAGACCTCCCCAGGGGAGCAGCATCCCGGGGAGCAGTGCCCGGGCCAGCCCTCCTCCCCATGGCAGCCCTCCAAAAGGGGGCGTGGTGTGGTCAAAAATGGCCATTTCTAGCACCAAGCTTAAAATCAATTGCAGGACCTGATTATCAGCAGGGTCTGGTTTCCTTTGGTCTGGGGTTATTCAGCTCATCTGCAAATGAAGCTGTAGGTGTTGGAGCCCACCCTTGTTCCAGGAGGGATGCGGGCAGGCAGATTGCAACCGGCCACAATGGAAGAGAGCCCAGACCTGGGATCTTATTCTTCTGTCCATGCCTCAGGTCACGGAGGCAGCTTGGTTTTTTGTAGCATATTCAGAACTTCACCTCTTGGGTATTTATGAAGGCTGGCTCATTAGCTCCAGTCATCAGGGCTATTTTAGTGCAGAAATACATCAGGCTACTCATAAATGGATGAAGACTTGCCAAACTTATTGCATGTTGGCCCCAGATAAACCAAAGGGTTATATAGCAATTCTGTTGTAACCAACATTAAGGGGTAAAGTTCTAGGTCTGATTAGTAAAAACTTGAGCAACTCATGTCCCCAGGGTGGTTAGTTTTAAAAGAACATTTAAAAGTTTTTGGTTATTAAGAAAAAAGTTAAGCGGATATAGTGAAATCCAGGTTGGACATACATGCTGAAACTGCTCCATCAAAAACACAGCAGAAGATGCCCAAAGGTTTTAGTGTTTGCATGTTGCTTAGAACTGTGAAATTCACTCTTCTGGCTTGCTGCAGGAGACTTGAACACACAAAATCATAAATTTGCATATGGAAAAGAAATGAAAATTCCAATTCAAATCGCTCAGAAAATATTAGGCATCTTTTCAGTTAACATCAGCAGGCTTTGACTGAGTTGCCATATGACCTTTCTTCTGTCGGATATCCAATGGAGGGAAAAAAACCCCTTAAAAAAAATTGAACCTGCTTTTAGTTAATGTCTACAGTGTTCTGTTGCATTACAAGGCTCTGAAGTAAGAGATCTCTGTTTGAAATGGTGTCCCAGGAATATCAATAGTATGACCTCCCTTGAACTGTATGATTCCCTAATCATCAGATAACACCATTGTTATAACACGTGCCGGGCATGTGCCATTGACCTGCCACTTTGTGGCACAGCTCTGAGGGACCAGAAAACAAACAAATAAATTAGTCATACCATTTATGGAGCCAAGCCATCCTCCATGGAGTAAAAGCTAATCAACTTTATAATAACATGCGGCGCCCATGCGCAATGAAACTGTTTAGTTCTTTATGAATTATTCAATGAGTCCTCCTGGCAGTTGGGGTAAGTTGTTTGTTCGCCTGGCTGCTGTTTCTGTTCTGCAGCGGTCCCCCCTTGCTGTCCAGATTCAACATTTCATGTTGTTTCCACAGAATCAGTGAGTGATGGACAGGCTGCACTATCCTTGTGGCCAAGCAATGTTCTGCCAATTGATTTCTTTAAATGCAAAGCTTTTAATCGACTGCAGATTTTGTTTTCCAATCTCTCTCCTTCTCTCAAACTCCCTTCTGCTAATTTGCACTTTGTTCTTCTCCCATTTTCCTAATGACACAGCAGTTCAGACAGGAACTGTTTATTGATGTTGCTGCATTAGCAGGCAGAGCAGATAAACCTTCTTGTGACTGTTGTTCAGGAGAGCAATCACGTTTTTCTTCCTTTTCCAGGTTCAGATAAAAACAGCTGAAAAACTCAGTACAAGACTAATAGCCCATTTATGGGAAATATAAAAAGCAGCCATTCCCTTTAAAAAATGTTTCCTTTTTTGCCTTCTCACGTTCTTGTCTGAAAAGCTTCCCCTATATAACTCCTTAAATTTAGAACTTCAGCATCCTATTTCCTCTATGAAAGCTTCAGTGGTGTGATCCTTCAATGGAGATGGACTTTCTTTTAATTACATGGTATATTTATCCATAATCCAATAGCATTTGTAACATGGACCCATTCTTAAGCAAAACTAAGTAACCTGACTCTTAGTCAGAGCTAATGCTTGTTCAAAGCTCAGTTGTAAGACCAGTCCCACTTAAATTCTCTGGAGGCAAAGATGACACCTTTCTGCAGCACTGAGCAAAATCAGTTAATATCCGATCTACTTTAAACACAGAAATTGCTGTGCTTTCCTTATTTCCAGTAATTTTTACCAAACAGCTTGGACATGAACATGAACCTAAATGCCACTCGCAAAGACATTCTTGATGCATGCAATTGTACCTCACTATATTTTTGCTGACCTGCAAGGATAGATTTATCTTTATTTCAAGAATTCTGCATGACTCACTGAAATTCACCCTCTAGAGCAGACAAAAATTTGGAATTTCAGATGCTCTGCAAAAAGGACAACTAAACAACTTTTGTGGAAACCCGAGTCGTTTCTCAGGACAAAAGGACACAGAGAAATTGCAAGGAACCTCCCAGACAAAATCTCAGAAGCTCCCCTGTAACTGTACTAGGCTCAGATGGAATAAGAAGTTCATAATCAGAAAGAAAATACATTGAAATGGTCATCAAGCAGTCAGGATGGTGTGAGAGTTTGGTGGAGGATCTCCAGTAGTCCAAGAATCACCTGCTCAGTTGAAATTGGGGAGCAAAAAACAGAACTGATAGCGCCAAACATCCCCATCTTCTCTCCTTTCCTCTCCAGCTGACTTCTGCAACTCCTCCTCTCTCATGAAAATTTATCTCTGGCCTGGCACAGGGAGTGGTGGTGGGACTGAGGAGGGGCAGCTTCCATTCCTTTGATCCGAGGACTATTAAGTGCACATGTAATTCAGGCACTGCTGCCCTCTAAGCTCTGCCAGTCTCCTAGGACTTCACTGGGATACTAAAAAAAATCTTGGCCAGCCCATTCCAGCCACTGGTGGAAGACCAGGAGGAAACTCACTGTGTCTCCAGACATCCCCTCTTTCCTTGAGGCTGCTGCTTACAATGTCTGTAAGGCAAACACACATTAAGTCCAAGTTCCTTTGAAGGTGGCTTCCACCTGTTTCTAAGAGTAGTCAAGACCATTTTTGGATGATCTGCTTCCTTGCTGTCTGACGTTTAAGACTACCTTATGCTGTATGTAAGCTAAAATGGCACACACCATTGATCAATGGGATTCAGTGGACATACAGCCACTTCGTTTTGTGTCCTAATCCTGGGAAGCAAAATGCATGAGGTGTTTTCCAAAACAATGTCCATCTCTGACCTTTCTCTTCTGGCCTGTGCAGAAATGTCACTAAGGAACTAAGGACAGAAGCAACTCAGAGGCAAAACTGTGCACGCTGGACACATTTTTTCACCTTAAACATTCCTTTTGAAAAGAGGGACATCAGTTTCATCCAACTACATTTACGATTTGAGTATTTTTATAAGGCTGAATTAGACGGTCTTTTCTTTGACCTAACTTCATTGTAAAATTCATTTTGTCTGAAGAAAGGCTGAATATAAACTGAGTAGGGATTTTAAAATTTGACCTAGAATGTTGAACTAATAGCTGACCTTTGAACTGCTCCTAGATTACCCAGAGTTTACGGTCATCCTATGTTTCATTGGAAGGGTCATTTCCTGTAGGACTTACATCCAGTCATCTGACTTGTGACCTCTTGGATTAGATTTATGACCTTGCAAGGTCAGTCTTTAACTCCTTCTAGACTGTTAAGTTGCAGAGAGGACATTGCATGTCATTAGAAAAGGAGTTTTCTCCAGTATGGTAATAAGGTTTTGGAATGACCTTTAATTCCAGTGTCACAAGACACTACTGATTTCCAAACAATATTAAGACTTTGTAGTTATCCCTACCTTTTCTTTATTTAGAAATAAGTAGATATATACATTGAAGATACCAAAAATTTGCCAGTATTTGCAAACTTGGCAAACAGAATATAGTCACGTACCTCCATGTCAAGGTATTTAAACAAAAGAGAGACTTGATTTTCAGCTCTGCTAAGTGTTAACAACTCCAGCTGATCTCAATAGGAGCAGTAGAAACTCAACACCCCTCAAAATTATGCCAGTAACACATAACTATAGAAATACATGCTTTCTTTATGTGTTTGTATGTGTGATTAGTGTCTGTAATTTGTTGGGCAGGAATCATCTCTTTTCTTAATGTATCTACAGTGTATAGTCCAGTTTGACTTTGCTTTCTGATAACAATGAAAATAAATGCATTGAATAGATTCAGTCCTCAGATACAGAACTTTACTAGAGTGAAAATAAGAAAACGCAAGATTTCTGTGGTTAAACATAAAATTCAATAGACCGACGCAACTGCGTTTTCAACAGAAATCAAAGCTAAGTGCCATAAGGATGAGTTTACTAGAGACCTCAGTTTCTGAGTTAGGCACCAAAAACAAGGACTAGATTTATCAGGAAACTCCCTGCAAACTTTGTGTGAAAAGATGAAGTAGCTCTCCTTAGAAGGAGTTCTCTTGGATGTCAGTCCCCAGATGAGGACTCCAAACATTTGCATGGTCACCTGTGTTACAACCTGAGAACTATTTGAGAAATTCTACTTAGTTGTATTTCTTTTGCCTGTCTTTCAGATCCCATGAGGCTACAAGCCTTCCGCTGTAATGGCCGTTCTTGCAACCCTCCGGTGGGAAACCTTGCAACAGGGAGGACACCAGTCACTCTCACCACATGTGGCCAGAACAGTACAGAACTGTACTGCTTCTACCCAGAGCAGAATCTCCTCCATCGGGTCTCCCATGGCTGTGGGCAGCCTCGCTGCACCAAATGCAATGCCAACCAGCCTGATAACTCCCATCTTCCTGCATTGCAAACCCCATCTCCTGGTGGCAGTCTGCCCAAGGGGTACACAGGGAAGAAATCAGACTGAACTTTGAAACAGAATTCTACCTGACCCATGTCATTGCTGTGTTCAAGTCACCTCGCCCAGCTGCAATGGTGTTAGAAAGATCCCAGGACTATGGGCAGTCTTGGAGGCCCTACAAGTATTTCTCTGTCAACTGTACAGCAACTTTTGGGCTCCAGGATGATCTCATTGAGGAGGGCTCCATGTGCACTTCCAGGTATTCAGATGCAGTGCCCTGCACCAGAGGAGAGGTAAGCAATAACTGAGGTTTGGACTAAGTTTAATGTCGAACAGCTGAAGACTGGCTGAAAATCAGAGAGTATGTGCTCAAAGAGATAATGTGCATATAAATTAAGAAAGGTAGCCCATCCCCAAAGGCTTTGTGTTAAGAAAATAAAGGGGAAGAAGAAGAGAAACTATATATCAATGAAAATGAATAGAAATGCTTTAACAAATTTCTTTTATGAGAGTTGCACAGGATAGGATTAACATTGCCTAATTTTACACTGCAGATGCCAATAACTGAACTAGAATTCCAACAAAATAGACATAGGGAAATACACATTTGTAGAGTCTGATTTATCCAAACTGTTTTCCTACTTTAGGATGACATGAACTGCATGGTCTTTCTTTTTCTTCTCATATAAAAAGTCCTAGATGACTGGATGATTTTTAAATACATCCTTCCCCTGAGTTTAATGTAACTTTTCTTGCTGGGGTGACCGCTCTGATTGTATCAAGCCATAGGCTCCAGAAATGAAACCATTTAGAAACTCAAAGTGGAAGTGAGCAGACAGATTTCACTATTCAACAGCGGCAAAAGGCCCTCCCTTGGTATGAATACTCTGATGTGCTATTAAGCATATGCAGAAGGTTTTCTTTTAAAATAAATGTACAATTGCTCTGATAAATTCGTCTGACAAGAACATTAACGACTGCTTAGTAGTGAGATACTTAGTTTAGTTATAACCCTTTTCATTCATCGATCGTGAAACAGTTTAGATGGGAAAGACGTATCATTTTATAGAGAAGACATAAAGGCACAAAGGGAGATTATAAGACTTTCCTATTGTCACAACAGAGGCTGGAGTCCTTTCACTTCCTTCTCTCTTCCTTAGAGAAGTCACAATCCTCTTGGTTTCCCTGTCTGGAAGTGATCATGCAGGTTTGGCAGTAATACTTTGCTGCAAATTAAGCTCAGGTGTGAAGTAAATGGTCCAGATAGGCTTCAAAAACACACAGTGGTTTCAGCAGTGCAGTTCAAAATGCACTTGAGAAGAAAGAAACTAGTGTACTATACCTGAGACAGGGAAACAGCAGTAAGGAGAGACTGCGTTCACCTGTGTGCAACAGGCTGGGAAACATCTCTGCATATTAGAAATCTGGAGCAGATCATCTGACTACTAAACTGTCTTGTTCCTGGAGTAGTAATTCTTCTGGTCAGTTGTCATGATACATTTAAGTCAAATACATCCAAATGTCTTCTGTAGAGAGATTACAATTTGCCATGTCAATACAGAATCTAGGCAACTAATATGATTTTCCACTCTTGTGTGCCTTCCAATCAAAAATCTGGAAGTACTTTGCAAGACCCATTTAATGATCTTCAGTACACATATAAGGGTTCTGTTGCCATTTCACAGATGGGGAAAGAGCAGCACAGAAAGGTGAAGTGTTTCATGGTAAAACAGGACAATTATGGTTGAGTAAGGAACAGAATACAGGGTCTGAGGCAAATGCCTTGGCCTTAAATGCAAAACAACTCTTCCTTCTCTAGTACAGTATCCCCTGTTGCCCTGCACTATGTTGGCTTTTGTGCTTACTTAACTTTGGGGAATATCATTAAGACCATGTGTTGCTGCTACAACAAATCGGAGAAGTGGATGGCAGAAAATCAAATAATAAAAAATTCATCCAACACAAGCCTTTGTGATTGCAAGTGCCAAAATGATTCTGTCAACTTGGGCAGCAACTACACTGAAGTGAATATCTGTATACTTAATCAATCTATGCTGTGGTAGTAGGTGTTAGAAAACAGTAGTAATAGTAAGAACAGTCATATATTTACAGGTCATACGCTTGCAGTTCCCAAATACTTTCATGAACAGTTACATGAATAAATACAGAGGTCACTTCCTCCATGGGACGGAGAGCTGAAGCTTTAAAGCAGCACACAGGAATCTGTATAGCAACTTAACAGAGAACAAGACAAATACTGTTTCACAGCACATTAACCCAAAAGACTTTACAGAGACCTCTTAATCAACCCATGAAATGCCATTATGGCAAGGGTGCAAAAGCATCAGGCTTTTCAGGTCAGCAATATGACACAGCAGATTCTTTTGTGAATGAAAATAAAGGAAGGCAGAGTGTAGTTATTTAAAGTGATACCTGATCAGATTTGCCTGAGTGACACTGCTACTCTTACTACAAGTCTCACAGGAGCTTTGCCCACGCATCTCAGAACTGTAATTTTGCACCTTATTTTAAAGATGTCACAAATGTCACCAGGGTATCCCCTCAAGCACTGACTCACAACTGACTTGGAAGGAAGCTGATTGAATCCCCACCACTACTTTCTGCAGTGTTCTCTGCTTCTTTTTCACCTCCACTCTGACCTATCCAATTACTGATTCTGGCTAAGCCTTAGATTGCTGAGGAGTTCACATCACAAGATGACAACATTTCTGAAATGATCAAAACCGTTCCAACTTAAATGCTAATTAATGCTCTGAAATAAATGCCAGTTTCTTCTACTGAGGAGGCTGAAGTCATTTCCACTGCATGATACTCAGGTTTTTCTTGGGCATTGTCCTGTTCACTTGGAGAAGAGACAAAAATTCCTTTTTAACAGGGCACAAAAGGAATCAAAAAAAGAGATGGCTTACTAAGAACACTTAGGTTTAAAACCCATGTGGGACACGTCATGAAACAAGATTTCAGGTCAACTGACTTCCAGAACTGAGAATGTAGGTGTGAAAGGAGAAGGTGGTAGAGCTGCAGTAACTTACATGCACCTGAGATGCATCTCCCTGAGTCAGCACACTCTGGTGGTCCTCCAAGACCACTGAAAGAGGCTTTTCCTGGGAGCATGACAGGAAACCTGGCAGAAGAGAAACTTTCAGGAGACTAGAATGGAGGCAAAAGACATTTGGGTGAGTGATGAGAAACAATGTCACAACAGAACATAATGTATCACTAAGTTAAGGTGTATCCCTTGTCTCTTGTAGATTATCCCTTATCTTTTACCTCTGACAGGGTCACACATCTTCATTCCATCTCAGGTAAGGTACAGCTGAGACAGAAGGTGTCATGAATTGGGGAACAAGTCCTGTAGAAATGCAAGGAGATTACTTCCCAATGTCTCTTTTGCAGTTTTCTTTTACTCCAGCTTTTCCTAAATCCCTTACTCCTGTTCAGATCCAGACTACTTCTGCAGCTAGAATCTATCTATCTGAGATCCTAGGTCCCCGCATCTTAATTTTTCTGGCAATAAACTTGCCCTATTGATGATTTCTGGTCTAGGAGGCAGAGCAATTTATTCGCTGCCAATTGCTTACACATCATTTGCTTCATATGAAGCACCACAAAATCAACACCTAACTTTCTATGCTTATAAACACTTCTCAGTGAAAATCCTCCACTAGCATGTCTTAAGTCCTGACTGGCCTGTTAAGTACCCTATGTTTTGCCTGTTGATTTCTATCACTATAAGAAATTATATATTAAATGGGAAACAAGTGCTTCTAATCTTTATCCGATTCTTAAGGGAGAACATTCTTAACTATTCTTAAGGGAGAATAGTTACTGCTATGCTCATCAGCTTCAGTACGCCGACCTCCAACATAACATCATGAACTAAAACCAACCCCACTTTTTTAAGGTCTGTTCATCTACTCTAAGTGCATCTACAGGCAATGCTTGCATGGAGTCTTATGCATCAGCTGAGACCTTTTCTACCCACCTGTCCATCCACCTGTTTTTCTAATTTAAAAACACTGTACTATATAGTCATGGAGCCTAAAATGAGCCTTCAGGTCAGCTAATGTAAATCAAAACTCTGGCCCAAACAAAAGGAGAAATGTTGCATCAGACAGTAGTGTGACTTACAGTTCAAACATCATATGGAGGAAATAGGGACCGAAATGTTTCAACCTGCATCCTGACAGCACGTGCACTCAAGGATCTGAAAGATTAAGAGCACATTTTTAATAAGCTGGAATATCGGGAAATGAAAACAAATGTTCTCCTCCATCGAAGATGATGTTTGCATGAAAGGAAGACATTAGCATGCAAAATGGGGTAGAACACTGACCTGCTTATAACCACCAGACCCAAAAAAAGACCCTTCCCCTATTGGGTCTAGCTAGTGGAAGGGAGGTTTGAATCAAAGGCTGGTTCATTTATGTGAGTGTCTGTGTGACAGATGACACCAATGAAGTGTGATATAATAAACCCATTACTGGAATTCACTGGGGGCTGGAAGAATTGTGTATGCCTGAATTAAGTAACTGGTTTCTATGGCAACATGTTAAGTGTGCCTTGCGCAGAAGACCTGTTCATTCTCCGTTTTGTATCCTGTGGTGACCTGTTTAGGGACAGAAGTCCCCAGCAGTGCCTTTTGTCAAAGATGAGTGGACTCGCTTTGTAGCTAAAAGACTTTTAATCACTCTTCTAAACACACTCTGTGAATGCCAGATCAAGACATGTTGTAATGGGATGCAGTTCTGTCTGCTTCAAAAGCCACCAGGTTGTTCAGACAGAAGCCACAGTCAACCCTGTGGAAGGCCTTTTCCTCTGCACTGACACTGAAGACCTCTGCTGCCTTTCTCCATCTACAGGGACTCCCTGAGCAACAGTTATGGCAGAAGAGGACCACCTGCACACAGACACCAAACCAGGCCAGGGCCAGGGCTCTGTGTGGAATGTATATGATCTTGTTCCAAGGACCTACATTTTTTTCTGTCTTTTCTCTTTTCTTTTCTTTTACTGTATTCACGCCAAACCTTATGATAAACAAAGGATACCCCGCACATACACACATACCTCATTAAGTGGCAACATCAATAACTCAAGATGTCATCACTGACGCTTCAGTGGCTTCTTAAAGGTCTGATCTCATATGGCAGTGGGGTCACTGAAAAGAAACATTCTCAGCACATCACAAGGTTGAATTCCTAGTAGCTAAGATGCAAGGGCAGGGTCTTGCACTGCAGTGAATTGTCCAACAGTCATCAGGACTGTCCTCTCA